AGCCCGGGACGGGGCCGGCGGCTCAGGCTAGCGGGTTTCCAACCTTTCCCGACAGCGCAGAAGGAACTTGCCGGCACTTCTTCCCCATCCCCTCTCTGCCAGGACCCCGAGGACGTCCTCGCCTGCAGACCCTTCGGCAGCTCAGGGTTTCTGTCCGTGGTCTTAAAGACACGAGCTTTCCAGTGCTCTGCGCTCCCCAAAGCATTTGGGGGCCCAAAGCCGTAAAGACGCTGAGATGCCTGGCTCCCGCGGGTGTCGGGCTGTTGCGTGCACCCGAGCCCGAGTCGGAGGGTGCCCCGTGCTGCTGCAGGCTGCCTGAGCAGGCCGGGAGGGTTTTTTTTTCTCCATCTCATGTTAGTTGCTTTGGAAAACGGGGTTTTGTGAGCAGGTTTCCTGAGACTGCAAAAGGGGGGGGGGGGGGGGGGCTAAGTAAACTTGCAGCAGCTGCTTCAAGGAGCTATTTAGGGATGCGATAAAGCGGCAGCTAAAGTTGGAGGGGGGGCGGCTGGTTACGCCCCAGAAAGAAGCGATTTCCTCCCTTCCTGGGAAATTTCCATTTCCAGCTGCCTCATCTCCCACCGCCGGGGCGACCCTGCAGGCAAGCACCACCCCGGGAGGAGGAATTACCCCCGCAGGGATGAAACGTTCCCTATTTATTTTAGCTCCTTTAATTACCGTAAGGGTAGGACACGCTGCCAGCGCAAGCGGAGCCGTGCCGCGCGTGCCCAGCGGCGATCAGCGCGGCCCTTGCTCACGCTTTCCTCCGTGCTTTGCTCTGCTTTCTGCCTCGATTGCTTCCGTGGCTGCTGGGATCCAAGATACCAGCCAGCTGTGAAGGTATTTAGCTGGCCAAGCCCTCAATACCTTTATGGGAGCCAGCAAAGTGCCAGGGCTACCAGCGATCCCATGGGCGATGGGGAGCTTGCCAGGGCCAGGGCAACTTGGGCTTTGGGAGCCTCCGCTGGGAAGCCAGCGTGGGGGAAGGTGATCCTCGTGCTTCCCTCGTGCTCACGTGTTGAAGGAAAAGCAGATGGATGGGATGTGGTGGGTCCCCAGGTTTAGGAACGGGTGGTTGCAACCCGTTTGGTTTGCAACCAAACCTTCTTACATCTTGGCCAACCTTCTGTGTGCGGGGCTGGCCCTGGCAGCTGGGACCTGGACGGTGCTGCCTGGCGGG